TGACCTTCTTCTTGTGGAAAAACATACCTCAGGTAAGAATTTAGAATCTGTATCCATGCTACTTACGTAATCGTATGTGTATTACCATGAACATTTAATTCCGTAGATTTGAAAGTTAGGTTAGGTGGCTATATTTCATCTACTTTTTTTTTGTCGTATTATTATTTCGGTAAATATATGGATATAAAAAAAGAATTATATATATATATTTGTATATAATATAATCAAAGAACTACCTCTGTAACGTATATTATTTTAAATGAATGAATATAGATATTTTTTTTATGATGTAGGGGGCGGCAACCACGTGCTACGTGGCACTTCACCCGAGCCTAAAAGGGGTCACCGGAAAATATTTCTCAGACTGCAATGTCATCACTCCGAGCAAATTCGCCGCCGACGAAATCCTCGCCGACAAACTCTGGGACTTCTCTACCAAACTCGTCAATTCTCTCCCTCCCTAAATCATAAACCAAACGCCCCCTTACAATCTAGAAACAATATAATAGTTTTTCTAGTTTTTATTATTTTCGTTTTGAAAAAAATATTTTTATCGAATTCGATTCAAATATAACGTGTTATTTTATATATAATGAATAAAATAATGAATAATTTTACAAAATTACATAATTCCTTCGAAAACGCTTTAACAAAATTGGTGGCTGGTAAAAAAAAAAGTTAAAGATACACGTAATGTATTACCTTTTTCACAATTTTTAACACTCGTGGCTAAATTCAGATTAAATTGAAAACAAAAAAGAGTAAAATATTTAATCAAGACGTAAGAAATAAATAAAAAAACATTAAATTTAAATGGGTTATGGGCCATGACCATCAAAGTGGGCCGAAATCAGTGGGCCTCATCGGACTCCCAAAGGCCCATTGTTCGTACAACGACGGCGGAAACCGCAACGACGATCGCCGAGAACACCGGAGGAACGACCAGGTCAACCTTCGACCTCCCGAACATACTCGCCGGAAAACAGAACATCTCCGACGGAAAATCCAGTGGAAGCATAAGGGCTCCGTCGGATCCGCACCGCCGCCACCGCGAAGAAGCATCATCTGCTGGCAGCGACGGAGAAATCGCCGACACAAACGCGAGCTCCGGCGCGAAGGAGATGACAGCAACGGTGAGCGTAAGTAACGCCGTCCACGTGGCGCCGTAAATAACGAGGGGAATCCGCAAAGCGAATCGGTGTGTCAGAGACGAGAAGAGATTGCGAATCATCGTTCCTCTATTCGCGTTTGACCCACGAAATCTCGGGGATATTCCGCCATGGACGGAGCTTCGAGAGCTTAAATACGAAAGGCGCGAAGGAGAGAGAAACTAGCGAGTGTGGAGGTAGAAGGGAGAAGATCACCTAATCTCACCTGCTACTGCTACCACTGCGTAGATGACGAAAACGACCGAACCCATTGTCGTTTTGGATGTAAACTGCTGACGGCCCCCTCCCCCCCTCCTCTCCGTTGACCGTTGCTTGCTATCTATCCTGATTCCTGATGCTGAACAATGAGCAATGGATTCAAGAACCGAAGATTCTTACGTAAAACGCAAGAAAACTGCACAAAGAAGGGTATTTGATATGTAACATTATGATCCTGACAAGTACGTGAGATCTTTCCGGTGGAATCTAATCGACCGGAGTGTTCAGCTGCCGATAATGGAATGATGATTTCAAAGCAAGACCCTTTCGATGTGTCGAAGTATAGAACTGCGACAAATCTCCCAGCAAAACCGACATATTTCACCAGAATGTGGTTTTGGTTCTGTCGGTAAAAGACGAGGGGAGCCAGCGAGCTATAAGGTCTGATTCTCCTTGCACAGTGTATTACCGTACTTCATCCATACACCACAAACCTCAGAGGAAAAAAAAAGAAAAGAAAAGAAAAAAACCCTAAGGTGTTCAAGAACATAATACCACATCTAGTTTTATGAAGCAAGCATTCAGATAGGAATCACAAGAACATAATGATGATGATGATGCATGTAAAGAGAGCACAATATGATGTTCAAAGACATTAATGTAAAGACATTAATGTAAAGAGGATGGGTGGTGGTAGCAATAGACAGGAATCATCAAGTGACAATTCTACAGGCCTCGAGGAGGGATTCTTCTCAATTAGCACGGCTTTTGATGACGTCGAGGCCCATCTCGGTAGGATCAGTCGCTTGCAACTCCACCTGAATACCGTCAAGCTCTCTCTTGAACCTGTCTTTTGAGCTCGCGTATATCATCTTGCTCCTCACCCTCGACGTGTCCGGTGACCTTCCACCAACAAACACACCAAGACTCAGGTAAATTGGCTTCGCAGTTTCTGTTACTTGCCAAGACGCTCTCTCACCTATTTTGGTTTATAGAAGAATTCAAGAGAAGAAGATGGAGGGGTACCATGCGATGAAAAAGATCCTGCTCTTTTGGCAGTTCTCTGAGGTGACGAAATCGAAATCATAGACAGCGTATCTGCATTCATCCGCAGGAAGGCTTGCAGCAAAATCCTCATAGCTTTGGGATGGCTCACCAAGCTTCTCCACAATGACTTGCTTCTGCTTCTCTTCGATCTTGTAGACAATGAACCGGTATGTTCGCTTTGATTTCAACTCCAGAAACTTCAGCTTACAGTCATCATGAACAGCCATACCAGATGCAGCGTTGGCCTGGAAACCAATGGACATAATAAAAGACAGATACTATATCACCAACAGTTTCTCTTTCACGTTCTTGAACTCTTCCCGTGTCGAGTTTCCTCAATGTTCACACAGTTTTTCTTTTTGAAACATAATTCGCAATCTACGAAAATTGTCCATACATTCTCCGCTTGATACTCTAAAAGGCTGACCACAGACTAGTGTCAGTGCATTTCAGTGTTCTTGGCTATATACATTGCCCTTTGGCAGATCCCAAGTTTGCTAACGTGAACCAGATGAAACAATCAATGAAGCATATAATTTAGATCTGAAGTGTACGAGTATAAGACCAAGTGCAGAACATATTTTGACCAACAGCCACATTATTAGCAGGAGGAGTCCTTTAAATAGCTGACAAAGAAAGAGGAAAACAAGTTTTCTACCTCAGGACTCCATGCTAGACTAATGAAAAGACTGTTTCTCATCATCTCATTGGATTAGCCCAAATCCTTAAGACATTGTACTTTTCATAGATTTATCACCAAACTCGAATTATCCATTGCCAAACCACAAAAAAGAATGCAGAGCTTGGAGAAAATGCATCAAGAAAAAAACAAAACAACCTCAACGGATTCAGATCTGTACAAAAGAGAGATGATCCACCATGGCATCCAAAATCCAGGCAACATTCAGCTTCCACCAATAGCACGAAGACAAATCGGACATCAATTAACAAAATGAACACTAAAAGAATGAAAATTTGCAAATACGCAATTGAATTTCCTCTGCTTGATCCTTATCGCGGTCGATTTACAGTTCACAAACGAGTTTATCTTTCTTCTAGTAAGAATACTACTTGTATGATGGTTCTACAAATTGATCATGTTGTAAGGCAGTGTCACGAAATCACGACGGTAAACCTTTCCCTATTCCCAAAACCACTGGAAAATCAGCTTCCGCAAGCGGATCAAACACAAGACAGAACCAATTCCTAGCGAATTAAACTCATCGAGAAGCACTGAATCACAGAACAGTCATCGGATTCCATAGTATTCATCATGGCCGGCAAAATTAATCGGTGCACAAGCGGATTCCATGCAAATAAACGAAATTCAGCAGATCAAAGATCACCGATGGAACTGCGAAAAGAAGCTCAAGGCCTCACCATTTTTTCCGGTGTCGATGCTCTTCCGGCAAAATACACGTTGATCGGAGATTCGACTGTGGCAGAAGGGGGAGGAGAGAAGGTGTTGGGATAAGGAGGGACTTTTCAACTAGCTGCAGAGACCAGAGAGAGAGGTTCCACCTGCTTTTATTCAGTGGCGCCTCACGAGACGGATTGCTATAAATCGTACATCTCGTTGATATATCGCTATTTTATATATCGTGATTAGTATCGCGAGACAAACCGCTGATTGGTGTATTCAGCGGCGGCTTCGGATTTCCGTGGATAAACGACGTCGTGTTGTCCATTTTTTCTTTTGGGCCAATAGCAAATATATTTACCTCAAACTATTCATATTTAGTTGGGAAATTAATCCAACTTAAATAAGATATCAAAATAACTTAAATAAAAATAAAATATAACTAACTATTCTAAAATATGTTATAAAAAATAATATACAATATATAAAATAACGTTAACGTATAAATTATTCTATTGGTTATATATATAATAAAATATATATTTCTTTTATCTAATTTAGGATTAAAGTTTTACTAAATAAACTTATTTATACATTCATAGAAATGAATTTAATATTTTAAAAAATTAATTAACTCTAATAAATAAAATATTCATATTATCTAATATAAGTATTTATAGGAAACAAATACTTTTAAATAATTGATAATTTTATGATTATTTGTCATTTTGTAAATTTGTATTTTTGATATAAAGAATAGATAACTTGTGGGATATTATCTAAAATACTCTCATGTTATAAAAACTATTTTTACATATATATCATTCTCCACAGTGATCATGTGATCGAAATGATAATATAATTATATGGTGGTCATATTGATCATAATTTTAAATTTATAGTTATCATACTAAATAACTATGATCACACTTTATATCTCATATTAATCATTTGGTGCATCATAATTTTAACGTTATAACGAATATGACCACTATATCACTATATTATCATCGTGATCATATAATTATTTAGAGAAAAAGATATATTTAAAACTAATTTTAGTAAACGAATTTATTTTGAATATTTCCTTCGATTGAATACATACGTGTTACATACTATGAAATATGATAGCGAATTATATATATATATAGATATATATTTTATTTTATGTAAAATAAAGTTATCGGCTTAAATTTACAGATTCCGCTAAAACTAGCCGAGAAATATCATATGGGGTGTCTTTTGGTTCTTCGTCGTCTTCTTCCTTTGCTTCAATCCAACGCTGCTTTTACATTTCATTAGATTAATTATTATTTTTAATCAGTTCCATGATTTAATTAGATATTTATCTCCAATCATTTGGCAATATCTCGGCTCTTAAAATTCTTACTCTAAGGCTCGTAAAAAACTTACACGTTGAATGCCTAATGACCTTTTCAGGTATCTGTTGGTATTTACAGTTCACTTAATTTTATAATCAATTCCTTAAAAAACTGTACATATTCATTTTTTAGACTAAATTCGATTCATTTTATATTTTCTATTATTTTTTTAAATTATATATTTATTGGATTTGATTCAATTTTATTTTAAGAAATCATATTATTTTTATATAAAGCCAATTCTTGATTCAATTTGTATCAGTGATAATGACTATTTTTCGAGGAATATATTCGATTATTTTCATTTTAAAAAAAAATTATAAACATTTATTTTTATATTATATTCAATTTTATTTTGATCTGTTAGATTAATTTTTTTTATTATATTTGATAATAAAAGATACTATAAAACAAATCAATTTTTCAATTATTTTTTATTCAAAAACTGTCAAATTAAAATTCATTTTTTCCGATTTTTAAAAAATTATAATCATTAAAAAAATCGGATTCGATTATATACTATTCGGTATGAATCAATCAAACTGGCCAAACCCAGCAAGAGCAAGAGGCAGACAGTCCACACAACTGCGAAAACAGGAAGAAGAAACCATGCTCTCCAGCAACAACAAACAACGTAGGATGTTTGCTTACACACACAGACATGAAGGAGAGACATGAACCTATCCTTGGCTGAGGTCATGTAGCCTTCAAGAAAATGCCGCCACTGTATGCATTTTACCCGCCTGAAACTTAAGGCTGCTTCTTATCTCTGATGCTTCCTGTCTTAACTTCTTTCTTCTTGTCGATTTCTTTGCTCTTCGTGTTTCTTCTGCTTCTTGCCCTTTGTGTGAGACACTATGGAAGGCGGAGTGTCGTACACATTTTCCGCCCACGACACATTCAGCTTCCTCTCGGACAAACCGGGCTTCTCCCGACTGCCTGTTACAGCTGGGATGAGAATCAATGGTGTCTGTCGCAAGAAAATATGTAAGAAGAATCAAAATTGATCTGGTCTGAAGTTGGAAGACATGTTTTGAGAGACATGGAACTTCATTGATATTTTACTGGATGTAATGGATAAACCGGATTGATCATATATCAACTCAAATGTCCCCAAGATTATTCCCATTGAAAACATGCCTTTGCAGAGTCTACAGAACTCCAGAAACAAACACGTTTCAATACAAGTCAATTCTTGTAAAATCTAGAGGAAAATCTTGTCCATGCTTCACCCAAGAACAGTTTGTGCAGTTGGATTCGTATGTTCAGGATACAACTAGACACAGAGTAATATGATGTTTCAAGCTACACTGCAATAGGAACATGGGATAACAACTTATACCAAGAACATGCTTATAACGGGATACTCAAGGAAACGGCTCAAGCCTTTACAGATTATAATCATCTCAAACTCAAGAACAATTGTGAAATCCGAGGATAATTAAACGTCAATCAACATAATGAAGAACACAGGGTGACTTACAGTCTCAAAGAATACTTGCTGCAATGTAGCCGCAAAGCCCTCTTCTTTTTCATCCGAAGACTTGAGAGATAAACAACCAGAAACGGATTTGCCCGTCTCCTTGTATTGATACTCCTCATTCACACTTTGGTGTATATAATCAGTATCATCCCCATCAGACTTCAGATCCTGTAAAGGAAGGATGGACGGTAGAGGTATCGAAGCATTTTGCCAGGCTTGATGACAGGTTTTCAACTCTATAAACCGGGATTGCTACAACAGAGAGAGTTCATATCCAATTGAAACCACTGATCTTCAGGGCAGAAGTGTAAACAATTTGCCATGAATCGTACAACAAATACGAAACTCTATTGACATGACCAAGAACACGCACAAGGACAACATAGGAAATCATCTACTTATTCAAACTTACGCAGTGAAAGAACGTATCCGAACAAGAGTCAACAGAACCAATCGACGAAGACAGACAAATGAATAGAGAAGAACGTAAATCGTTAACTAAGATTACCACTTCAATCACTCTTCTGAAGAGGTTTCAGACGATATGATGTCAACGAAGGAACCAAATAAAGGAGTAGTAGCTCAAAGGGCACCCAAGGCATGATATCAATGCTCTTCGAAACCATGTACCCAGAAGAGACGAATAACCCTAGTCCTCGAATTCCGATCCGACAGGCGCAAAAGTTGGAGGCTGCCCTTGGCAGATAGAGAGAGAGAGAGACTCTGAAAGCAATTCCTTTGAATTTCATATTACATCCATTCCGTCAGAGATAAATCACCATTGCCGAGATGACAATATCCATTCGAAAAGAGACAAATCAAAAATTGCTCGATCAAACTGACCGGTTCTTCATCTATCAGATCAAAGTGATCAAGATGATGAACAAGTACAAATGCCAAACCACCATCAGTTTCTTACGACTCATTCATTTGACATGCCCACAAACCAATGCCCCAAAAGAACGGATCTCATAAGAAACCGTTTAACAAGGACATTCAAACAACGATTTAAAAAATACCCTAAGAGCTCGTGAATTTGGTCACCGCCTTCGTTCCTTCAGATACGGCGTGTTTGGCCAGTTCTCCAGGCAAGACCAATCTCACGGCGGTCTGGATCTCCCTGGACGTGATGGTGGGCTTCTTGTTGTACCTTGCGAGACGCGACGATTCCTGAGCGAGCTTCTCGAAGATATCGTTGATGAAGCTGTTCATGATCCCCATGGCCTTGCTCGAGATCCCGATGTCAGGATGAACCTGCTTCAACACCTTGAAGATGTAGATCTTGTACGTCTCCGTGCTCTTCTTCGCCTTCTTCTTCTTCTTCTCGCTCCCTCCCTCCTTCGCTATCTTCTTCTCCGCCTTCGGCTGCTTCTCCGCCGGCTTCTTCTCCGCTGGCTTCTTCTCCGCCTTCGGCGCCATTGACGATCGCGCTAGAGAGAGAACAAAAATCACAGAAAGAGAGAGATTGATCGAAGAGGCCTGATGAAGAAATTTACGGAGAAGGGATTTGGTTATATAGAGGTTTGTGGTGGTCCCAGATTGGTTAGATCAGTTTCGCGGGGATTAATGACGTGGCGTAACGAGCATCACTGATGTTTAACGTGGACGGTTAAGATTTAGCCATACGCTCTAATGGGCTGGTATTAGGCAGGCCCATATACTCTGATGGGCTGTTAAAACAGGCCCAAATCTTCCTCCCGACAACCTTTAGCGAAATGAAATCACGGCACCTACACAATTGTAAGAGCAAAAATATGGAGATCCAAATGGGTTTTGAATTGGACGAGTACAAAAAAAAAAAAAAAAAAAAAAAAACCCTAAAATCTTGTTCTTCTGTTCCATCATTAATGTAGTGAGGGGAAACTATCAGAGGAGAACTTTCTATGAACCTCTCGATAGCGGGGAAAAAACAGATCGACCAAAGAAGAAAAGAGAGATTGTTCAGTTCTTCCCTCGGGCTGAAATCAAAGCGGGCAGGCGGGGAACGCGCTCTGTTTCCGTGTCTGAGATCTTCCCCGATCATTTCGACCCACTGTGTTTTCCCTTTTGAACCTTAGACCCTGCTTGGTTCCCAACACATTATTTATGTTATTGTAGTAGAGAGAAAGTGGAAGCAATTAACTGTGACTGGAACTGTAAGTGAAAGATGCAAGAGTGTAATCATCAATACAATCTCAGGCTAGAAAGTAGTGAGGGGAAACTATCAGAGGAGAACTTTCTATGAACCTCTCGATAGCGGGGAAAAAACAGATCGACCAAAGAAGAAAAGAGAGATTGTTCAGTTCTTCCCTCGGGCTGAAATCAAAGCGGGCAGGCGGGGAACGCGCTCTGTTTCCGTGTCTGAGATCTTCCCCGATCATTTCGACCCACTGTGTTTTCCCTTTTGAACCTTAGACCCTGCTTGGTTCCCAACACATTATTTATGTTATTGTAGTAGAGAGAAAGTGGAAGCAATTAACTGTGACTGGAACTGTAAGTGAAAGATGCAAGAGTGTAATCATCAATACAATCTCAGGCTAGAAATAATATGAATGGATCACACAAGAGAACACAACACCCATCTTCTTAGAGATCTCAACACGTCATCAGACAACATTTCTATTGAAAAATACCACCGGATCAAAGCAGGAACATTGTAACAACTAATCATACATTGATTCTAGTAAGAATACTACTTGTATGATGGTTCTACAAATTGATCATGTTGTAAGGCAGTGTCACGAAATCACGACGGTAAACCTAGTTGCGGGCTATAACGATAACTGAACATACATGAAAGTAACCATTCACATTTCACATACCATGAGAGGAGAGAAGATTCAAAGGCATCATCATCATCATGTAAAGGGAAAAAATGCATAATATCAAAGACAACCAAACCAAGAACCAACCCCATATGCCATTTGAGAGATAACGTATCATTGATTTGATCTATTACAATGTAATTTGACCAAATGCTTCAATTTCCCAAGATTAGATCAATACGAACAAGATCACCAAATCAATGAACTGATAACAGATCAAAATATAGGACTGATGGAATTCAAAACCAATTGTGGGTATAACATGTTTGAAACTGAATCATCAAACTGCAGACAGAGGTTCTAAAAGCATCAAGGACTAACCTATTGATAACAGGACATAAAGGAAAACTCTGGAGACAATCAAAATGGAACAGTTCAACTACCTCGGGGAACCGACGTTGATGTTCCGGTGAAGAATCCGACCACTAGCAGAATCTCCACCATCAATCAGCTCTTTTAGCCCCAAATTCTCCATCTTTTCCTCTTCCTCCTTCTCTTTCACCTCCTTCTTCTGCTTCTCCCCATGAAGATTCGCCAATCTCTCGAAGTAGTTCCCGTATATATACTCAGGCGTGTACCCATCGTCCTCGTCGAACAGCATGATATGTCCGTGCCACTCCCAGACACGATAATCCGAGCCCTCTTCTTCGTGGTACCCGACACAGATGTGGTGATCGTTGACGGTCACGGCCTGACCTGAATTGGGTTTCAGCGAATCGCTCCTACCCGATACGATGATTCGGACGAGCTCCTTCTCGAGCCTGGATTCTTCCCGGGCGAGCTTGCGCTGGGTATCGCCGGAATCTTCGCCGTCGCTGTCGTCAGAGAGGTCGTCGGATTTGAAGAGGAGGTCGTCTAGGGCTTGGGAAAGGAAAGGGTAATGGGGAGGGCGGATTTGGAGGCGACCGAGTAGGGTTTGGATGAGGAGATTGTCGATGTTATCGTTTTCATTGAAGGAGCTCATGGTTATAGCTCTTGTTCTTCGTCGTCGTCGTCGTCGTCTACCTCTGGAATGGGTTTTAGGGATAAAGGCAAAAGGGTTTTTGTGAAGGACGAGAATCTTGTACGTGTAAATGGGCCGCGAAGCAAATTTCTTCCATATTGAAGGGTAAAATGGGGAATATTCTCGGCTCATTGAATGCTCTCAAGTCTCAAGTTTCATCGAGTGAGATAATTTCATTTGGTAAATTATCCAACAGTATTCACGTGTTAAAATTAAGAGACTAATACTTATCTTAAATATAGGATCGTATTAATCGAATGTGTTATAATAGCCGAATCATAAATCATATCTTATAAACTGATGTGAACTGACCGCTTAGCGGTTATTTGCATTGAATAAAACATGGAAGAATTAGTCTTCCTTTTTTACATGAGTTATATTTCTATTACATTTTATTTTCATATATATAGGGTGATTTGCTTTCATCATCTTTGTCTATTTAAAAATTAAACTATCATGTTAAAAAATAAAAAATATTTTTGTAGAAAATTTATGTTATACTTCGCTTCTGATTCTGATTCGGAACACTATCATTGGTATTAGAGCATATCTTCTTTCTTTTTTCTCTTTTTTGTTATCGTTGATTCAGACACTCGGTGGTATCATGATGACAACCAAGAGCGCATTGACAATCTGGAATATGAATTATCGACCCTTTATTTTATGTCATTCACGATCCAGACCAAAACACGTGGTAATGGCGATCAACAAAAAACGCATCGAATTTTTGGAAACAGAACTTTCGACATTGCAGGATGAATTTGCTCAAGTGCATATGTCCATGACAGAGTAATGTCTACTAGAAACATCTCCCACTCATCTCGCTGATTCTCTTTCACCGGCGCATATCACTTCTCCATTCGATTGAGAGAAACAGATACGTATCAATTTTTCACATCTAAACCTTGTGGACAGGATTCTTCTGAGTATGATACGGACTGGACGTTTAGAAGTTATTTACGTTAGAATAAAATATAGGAAAATTAGTCTTCCTTTCTTGTAGGAGTTATATCTCCATTACGTTTTTGTTAATCCGAAAGTTCACTGGTTCTTTGACCCAACTATATCTCCTAGAAGATTTGAGCAGCCCATGTGAAAACCCTTCCCTAACCAGGAATTGAACCGCCAATCTGTAAATACTTTGCACTCATCTGTTACCACTCGTCCACAAATTGTTGGGTATCTCCGTTTTGTTTCCATATATCTATGATTTACTAAAGTGTATTTAAATATTAAACTGTCATGTTGAAAAAAATTAGAGAATATTTTCGTAGAAAGCTTGTATTGTTCTTCGGTTCTGATTGGACCACTATCATCAACATGCCACCGACAATCTAGTGTAATTTGTGCCATTGTAATATCCTATCGAAACCATATAAAATACATAACAAATACTATTTTTGAAATCCCTAACAATCAGTTCAAGTTCAATGACTATGAATGTGATTTTGTGATTCCTAATTTCCGATTAAATTTTAGATAGTCTAAACTAAGGCTATGAATGGTAGGTTTTCTTAGAATTTTTAGATTCTAATAACAAAAAAAATAACCAATCAAATTTTTATAAATTTAGTTTTTTTAAAATTTAGAAAACCATTTTGATGGAAAAATCAATAAAAAACTAAAAAAACTCTATTAATTTTATTTACAAAAACCAAAAATCAGAATCCAAAATGCAAAAACTGAAAAACTAAAAAGCCAAAACCAAAAACTCAGAATAAAAGTTAATACCATTATAACCTAATAAGATAACCTAAAAACCAAATGATATTGATTTTTCTTTTATAAAATGAGAAATCTGAAGCAAACTAAATCTAATCTAAAATAATAAAAATTAAATAAATATGATATTTATAAACTTAAAAATAACCAAACCAAAAACCAAAACTTTAATCCACTAGTCAGTCACTTAGAGAGACATGAAGTAATGTAGCTGAAATTTCAACCAAAATCCGAAGCGGATCCTTTAAAATATCATAAAACAAAAAAAAACAAAGTGACACTTCATATATTTCGGATAACCAGCGAATCTCTTCGCATGGATTTTTCGCCATCATCAACGTACTTTAACAAAATATCGACCTATATATATATATATGCCGTATATACATCACATCTGTAAGAACAGGAATGTGATGAAGCAAAAAGGTAGTCGCTTTGTTCTGTTTGCTATAATTGTGCTTGATGGTGTATTGTCTTAAAGGCCACTTCTTTTGTTGGGCAATCACCGCCTCAATGTCTCCAGGATGTAATCCGCATAGAGATCCCTACACAACACAACACAACACAACAGAAGAAACCCTTAAAAATACTTATTACATGTTCAAGTAGTTTTGGTAACGATATTTCAGTGGTGTGATAGTGTGTGTTCTTGTGTTCAAAAGAGTTTTTGTCACAGTGCAGAGAAATCATAATATCCACAAGGGCTTACATGGAATGTTGAATTGCATCATAGGCTGCAGTTGCAGGCAAGAAGTCATTAACCGCTACTTCCTTGTTCTCGTTCTTCTTGTCTGTCGTAACAAAAAAAGGCAATGATGTTTCCATCTTCTCAATCATACAAATCGTGTTTTTATCAAAATAATTAGCCAAAAGCAACTTACAGTCTTCAAAGAAACGTCGGATCTCAGCCAAACGATGAGGAGGAAGCTCCTTGATGTCATTGTAATGGCGATACTCGGGATCATCAGCACATACTGCAATGATCTTGTCATCTTTCTCGCCCTATATCCCGTAAAAGTTAGGCTCACAAGACACTATATCGTTTCATTCTATTTTTACTGATTCAAGAACAAACAAACTTGGAAATGATTTGAGAATGTGTTTACCTGATCAATCATGGGCATGAGACCAATGGCTTTGGCTCGAAGGTAGCATCCTGGTATTACAGGTTCCTACAGGAGTAACATTTTTCAGACAGATTTATTCGATTTGCACGTTAGGAAAACCGCATTTTGCCGCATTTCATATGTTGTAGCAAAGAGCTGTAACCAAAAAATGATCACATGGATAACATGATATATAGGGCACGATTTTCTACTGCTTGTGGCTAATATTCAGGTGTTTGGTGGTATATATGGATCCAGTGGACATCAGACTTTTACATCAGTATGAGTTCTGGAAATCACATGAAATAAAAAGAAAATACCTGCATAATGATGAGCACATCCATAGGATCACTGTCCTCACAAAGGGTTCGTGGGATGAACCCATAGTTGTGGGGGTAAACAACCGATGAGTAAAGAATCCGATCAACCTGCATACATATACGTAAGATTTTAAAAAAACTCACAGTACCGTCTTTATAGTGAGAAATGAAAAAAGAATGATGATACTGATATGTGTTACCTTTATAAGACCAGTCGTTTTGTCAAGTTCATACTTAACCTTGCTTCCTTTTCCTATCTCAATCACCTGCAATAGTAGTAACCATATGCTCTGTTAATGATTTCTCAAAGAATTGTAGTAGAAAACAGCAATCGAAGCCAGGGTTTCCCGTCTTTTTTGACAAAGCATTTCAAGGTGCAAGAAAACATGTCAATTAGGCATGGCTACAATATCCAAGATTAGGGATATGGTTTAGGAGCAGTAATCAAATTCCAATTCGCAGCTATATATAATATACCTTTTCTACATGACCAAGGCAAATGTGTTACTACAGAATAAACCCAGCAAAGATGGCATGGCACAGCTAAACTTGTGTGGTGTATCTTCAAATAAGCATATAATGGTAACTCGTAACTCGCATTATTGCAACAAAAGCTGTTGACCCAAATAGCTTTAGAGGCTCAATTATCAGATTATATATAACTTACACAATTGAAGATCTTTGGGGCTCCAGGTCCTGTAAACAGTGGATAGATAGAGAAACGTACAGAGACAACGTTAGCAACATTGCCCTTCTCTCAAGGACATGACATGAAACAGAAAACAATCAGATATGGCTTACCTATCTCCAGATCATGCCAAGGGTGTGCAGCAACTGACCTCTGGGTCATGGAAGAGAGTATCCTCTCATTGAGAGGAGGATGTGAAGCATTTTTCTCCATGAAAGTTTTGGTGGGAACCTCGAGGGGTGGGGCCATTGCTGCAACAAACAGACACAAGAGAGATTCATCAACACCAAAACCCATAAGATCTTCGTATTTGCAGAAGCAATGGGTCCGATCCAAAGAATTCAATCAACCATTAACCATAGGGAATCTGAGCTTATATCAACATCCAAACCACATTAAAATTTGTTCATCTTTTGAATTGGTAAACTCTTGAAGATCATTTGGTCATATCTCCAACACCTGAAAAACGCCTTGAATGATGGACAAGCTCTCATATGGGAGACAATATGAAACCAAAAGCACAAGGTACGAACCTTAGAGATCTCATTGGCAATTAAAACTAAAGAAAGTTACGGATACAATGGCAAACGTCTGAGAAACGCTTATGCTTTGATGCAGTTTATAATCCCTTAAACACCCAGAAAACTGTTCCAAACCCACGTTTATAGAGCAATTACAGAGACCCAGAAAAAATAAAAAAGCCGATCATGGTCAAATTAATCAGAGATGGGCTTGAAGCAACCGTAACTTTGAAACTTTCAGAAACCAACGCAGATCTACAGATTACAAAGCTCCACCGACAAGAAGAAATGTCCAGGAATAGCGAAAAAAAGAGAGAAAAATATTCTAAAGTAGGGCTCGACAATCAGAAAAAAAATTTCCACGGATTCAACATATTAAACATGATTCAACGGTTCTGAAAACAAATTTCCACGGATTCAACACATCAAATGACCTCGACAATCAGAAAACCCATAAACGAAAACCATACACGGAGAAGCATACGAACATTGAAACATAACGATATATACATCCATCTCATACATACGCAAAACTTGATGAAATTTGGTAATAATATCCAAAAAATACAGAAAAACCCTAGAAAATGGGAGAGAGAAGACAAGCCCGAATCGGCGCCATTTCGAAATCCGTACCTGCAAATAGTCCAAGCGAATGAGTCGATCTCCGAACAAAGTTTCGAGAAACGAAGAACAAACGCACAGATCTCCAGAGGAAAAAAAAAAACAGGGAGAGAGGAAAAATCACGAAAGGAATGAAGGAGAAGCAGAAAGCGCTAAAGCAGAGGAAAGTTAAAAGAAGAACGTAGCTGCAACTGTACGCGTTCCCGCTCTCTGCTTCCTCCCCTGCTATTTGAAGGTGCCATTACAGGCCAAAATAAAAAGGAAAAAGAAAAATTGCAAAATAAAATAATAAAATGGAAAATTTTAATTTTTGTTGACAAATATGGAAATAAATAATATGCCCAGAAAAAAAAAAGGATATCCTGGGGAGGAGCGAATATTTTAACACGTGTCATGATTTTATTGGCCTCTTGTGCTCAGTAGGGACCAGACATGGAAGGAAGTCCTAACGGCAATGGGATCCAGATTGGCCCTCCACGTTTACGTGATTCGGATGGTCAGGAGTTCACGTTAAGTCTCCGTTAGCTACTCCGAATGGAAATGTGCTGAAGCAGGGTTTCGATTAGATGTAAGCGGGTGCACGGGGAGTTTGTGTACTATAATATCTGACGTGGCAAAGCCGCTGTCGGTGGATTTCGCATCACGTATTTAAGGATCAGCATAAATATTAATTCGGGTGACTATTTATTTCAATCTTTTATATTTATGTATTTAAAACTTTCTAACGTAAAATCAAAGTTGAACAAATCTAAAGAAAAAATCGATAATTCGATTCAAAATTAGATATATATATATATATATATATATGGTTCACACACGATTATAACTCAATTGATATCAATCGCTTGGCATTGCAAAGTTTATTACAAGTTATTTTTTTATAATTATAATATACATAATTAACAGAAACCTGATCCATTTTTTAACTAAATTATAGTGATTTTCATGTTAAATATTTAACGGATATTGGAAAAGATATAACTTAACTTTCATATGAAACATTGGAATTGAAAAAGCGAATATTTCCCGTGTAATTGAAACAATTAAAGCTTACGTTTCAGAATTTTATTGGCTACAAGAAAGGAATCCAGTGAACCCGTCCGCAGGAGATAAGCGGTGCGGTGGATGCGTAAATAGACAGTAACTCTACCATCATGCAATCGATGCTGCGTAGGATCATCGTGGGATTCATCTAATCATATATTGCATGTATTAATTTCGTATGGATAATAAATATTTTGATCGAATTCGTATAATATTTTTTTGTTATCGGTATCAAGCTAGATTTGCTTTGCCTAATTCTAATGATAAGATGAGAAGGCATAAAATATCCTCGACCGAATTCGAATCCATTTTGGACCAAACTTTTTCAAAAAAAAAAAAAACTCGCGTCTTATTGGATTACTTACGACCTAAAGTATTAAAGAAATTTTTAAGAGCTTGTTTTTCTATTCAAAAAATTTAAAACTAATCATTTTTTTTTTTTGATAACGGAGGACCCTAACTGCTACCCTTCGGACGCACTGACTAGGTAAACCTCTGGTCCGATAGCAGTCTTTGTATATGGATCATATAAACCCATAAATTACCTCCCTCCCCATCAGACAGGAATCGAACACTCAACCTCAATATGGAGTTACCTTCTGCCACAAGTTTGACCATTCGTCCATGATCTGTTGGGTTAAAAAACTAATCATTTTATTTAAACCATTTTATAATTTGTTTTCAAAATAAAATTATTATTATTATTCTTACGTATTATAGTCAAACGTCGATATAATGTGAATCCAGTTACATATTTATTTCAACACTTTTTAATATTATTAATTAAAAAGATTGCTGGAAATGATGGGTTTGTGAATTTTGGGTTCAAGGTTTAGGTTTCTCATTGATTTTTTGTTTTGTAGCAATTATAATAATACCCAAGTTTCGGTGCTCGCTGCATTTAGTTTTCCATGTACGTTAGTATGTCGTTATCCATGTTTTGGATTTTTATGTTTTTGTATTACATGCATGGTTAGCTGTACTTATTGCCTTTGATGCTGTCTTAATTAATTTTTGACATTACATTTTTAACCACGTGCTTAAGCTTAATGATAATTATCATTAGTCTCTTTTTGTTTGTAAAACCTTATTTAAGCTACGCTCACGCGTTCGATTTTCTTTACCTTAAACAATGCCAATATGATCAGATACTCGATCGCGTCGGTATATAACATGATTAGTTCAGAAATTAAATATTGAATTGGGATGTTAGACGATTGAAAAACTAAAATAGTTATTCAATAAAAAAAATTCCATGATAACTAAAACCGAACCTAAAAACGAATAAATAAGTATATATGTCTAAATAAAAATATAAATATCATAATTAGGATTAAGGATACATGGTTACGCTTTAATTCAATTGGATGCCGAAATTACTATCGGGCCATGGGCTTTTTGTGAGAAATTATTGAGCCCTAAAAACGATCCATCACTTTTTAAGTTTACAAGAGATTACAGGACGACATCGTTTTGGCGCTCTCACAAATCAATCAAACCATTACCGAAGATCACGCGCCCGACCAATGCAGATCTCCATCTCAAACAAAAATCCAACGGCTCAGATTCATTCTCTCTCTCCAAAAAAATCTCTCAATCTCCGAAAAGTCCATCGAGCGACCACTTTTCAACGGCCGACCGGTTGCTGTCGTGCTCCGTTCCTCCGCTTCAATCCTCTCCGATCAGATCTGGTGCTTCCCCCTCTCGATTTCTAGGGTCCTTTTCCCCAACCTTGATCCTCTACTGGGATCTGTACTCTTTC